GCACCCAGCAGGCACAGCCGATATCTGTTCCTTAACTTTTCTCTGGCTTGAGGTTTTCACTCCTTTCTCTTTCAGTAAATGACTCAGAAGTGAATGCTTCCCACTGGCATAGTTCTCTCTCTCTTTCTCTGTGTGTGCCCCTCTCTCTCTCAGTCCCTCTCTCTCTGTCTCTGTCTCTCTTATATAAGCACACACACGTGTGAGCACACGCACATGATAACAAAATTCCACATATGGCTATCAAAATTCTGCAAGCAAAGCATGCACAGGTCCTGCAGAGTAGAGCCCTGCCCCAGCCTATGGGCAAGCCCATCGCATTGACCCAGGCCAGCCTCGTGGCCAGCCCTCTTGGAGGCATCCTAACTTCAGAAGTAACACGCTGGCTCTTGTCCTGTTGGACATCGCAGGGCCCGAAGCAGCAGCCGTCCCACGGGAGCATCAGAGACCACAGAGGTGGGAACACAGGCCCGGGAGACTGCGACCCTGAGACTCTGCTGCTGGGGTATACTCGATGTCCTGGCTCGACTGAGTGGCCCTGAACTTGTCAGTCTGTGTCTGTGGACCTGTGTCCTGGGGCAGGCATGGACAGGCACAAGAATAAGATCAGCGTACAGCAGGAGGCAAACTGTGAAGTACCTCTCTGTCCTTTGTGAATTACCACAGTGAGGGGTCCACACAGGACACTGTGAAGTACCTCTCTGTGTGAATCACCACAGTGAGGGATCCACCTAGGACACTGTGAAGTACCTCTCCGTCCTGTGTGAATCACCACAGTGAGGGGTCCACCCAGGACACTGTGAAGTACCTCTCTGTCCTTTGTGAATTACCACAGTGAGGGGTCCACCCAGGACACTGTGAAGTACCTCTCTGTGTGAATCACCACAGTGAGGGGTCCACCCAGGACACTGTGAAGTACCTCTCTGGCCTTTGTGAATTACCACAGTGAGGGGTCCACCCAGGACACTGTGAAGTACCTCTCTGTCCTGTGTGAATCACCACAGTGAGGGGTCCACCCAGGACACTGTGAAGTACCTCTCTTGCCTTTGTGAATTATCACAGTTAGAGGTCTACCAAAGAAACTGTGGGCTGGGATCCCTGCTGCCCACTTGCTAGCATCTCTGAGCCTGGGCTTCCTCATCTTTAAAGTCTCTAGGCACAGGGCTGCTCTGAGGAGTAAATGAGAGGACGCAGGCTCCGGCTCACACAGGGCTCTCCAGGAAGGCTGTGGTCTCTACCGGGGTGTCCTTACGGTTTCCAATTCAGCCCTGCATCGTGGTCCTGAACTTGACTGCAACTCTCCCTATATTTTAGGATTTTTTTTTTTTTTTGAGAGCAGACCTCATATTTTATGCATTATGTCACTTAGCATTACCTATTTGGGAAACAGGATAAGTGTTATACATGTATATTTAAATCTGATTAAAGTTGATTCTCTCAAAAAAAAAAATGCCCCTGTGAAGCAGGCAGGTGGGGTACTATTTTTATACGTACAAGCAGGGAAACTGAGGTGCAGGGAGCTTAAATGGAGGCTCCTCCCAGCAGATAGGGTGTTCCTCTTTTTACAAAGGCACAATGCAGAGATCAGAGGCTGCTGTCTGCATCTGAAAATTTACCTGCAAGATTAAAACAGTGGGTTCGATGGTTCAGGAAAGGAAGCCCAGCCATTGCATCCATTGGCCTTGAACACTGGCCTGTCAGCATTGTGCGGACCTCAGAGTCTCCAAAAAAGGGAAAGGAGACACCAGCTCACTGAGAAAACAGGGCTTTCTGAATTGAAAAGAAAAATCTCCTTGGAAGTACTTTTCTTTGTGACGTTGCTGTAACAAACTTCTTCCTTTAATCTTTGAGAAAGAGAAAAGTGTGCTCACTGCGGCTGCAGCGAAGCCAGCACACGTCCGTCCCTGGAGGGGAGCATCATGCTTGATCTGATTGTGCCACGAAGAAGTGGGGAAGGGAGCCGGTGGAAGGGGGTGGAGCCCGGCTCATGTTTGGCATTTGTGCCACGTGTGGCTTCCTCAGGTGGCCGGACCGCTCTGTCTAAGACGGCTTGGCCTTAACAGCAATTGTGGTCGTGATGGTGGAGACACGAAATAGCCTCTTCCACTCCTCTTTCACGTGGATGTGAATGAGATAAAACCAGAAAACCAGATAAGACATTCAACAGTTTGCATTTTCTGCTAACAAGGTTTCTCCAAGTGCAGGTGGCCAGTGTTGGCACCAATGGTAGTGACCATCAGTGCCCAGCCCATGATCCTCAGGCTCCTGTTTCCTGGGGGGATGAGGAGTCCCGCCCTAGGCTGTGCCCAGGGGCTCCCCTTCGTCTCCGCAGGGCGCAGGACAGGCACAGGACCAGGGAGTTGCCACCAGGAGCAGCCTGAGCCAGTGGTGCTGGGAGTTGTGGGTAGCCACCAGCTTCCTAATGAAACGGCGCCTCCGCCATCCACGTCTGTCACTGGCTGACTCACGCAGCCTCTGCTGGCTCCTTCCCCTTCCCTACCAGTGCTTCCTGGGATCACCTCCCAGATTAATCCCTGGCACGTGCATCCCTGCCTGGGGTGTGCCAAGTGGGCAACGCAGGCCCTTCCCTCCCTGCCCCTACTGTCCACTAGGAGGTCCCTCTGAATACGCCCCAGGCCATCTTTGTTCACACCCCTACCTTGGGGCTTGATGAGATCTAACCTTGAAATTCTGCTCACCTTCCTGTCACTTCAGGCTCTGCCAGCTCCCCTCCGTGGGCGGTGGGTCCCCCACATCTGAGTTTCCACCCTGGCCAATGTAGGCGTGTAGTCCCTTGGCTCAGGTTCCCCGGGCTCCCATGGCCCTGCCTCTGGCAGCCTCCTGGTTCAGAGTCCTCACGGAGGCAACTTGGGTAACGCCTGCTTTTGCTGATATGTTGTGGGCCTAAAATTCACCCTCTTTAGTGCCCAGTGCTAAGAGGTTTGATCAATATGCGCTGACATGCAACCCCTTGACAGTCAAGATATGAAGCTTTGGTTTGTGTTCTTTGTTTTATGAATGTAGTATATCACATGATTGATATTTAGACCCACACAGCTTGTTGGGCGCATCAACAGCTCATTCCTTTCCATTGCTGATTAGTATTGCACGGGGCGGGTGCAGTGGTGTGTCCATGCCCCAGTCGGTGGACATTTGGGTTGTGTATTCAAAGTCTGGGGCAAGTTTGAATAAACCTACTGTGAATAAGCATGTGCAGGTTTTTGCAGGAACATAAGTTTCCATTTCGTTTAGGTAAATGCCAGGAGGGGGATTATTAACGCCTTTTTAACTGACTTCCATCCTGCCCTGTGCCACTTCCCCAGTTCCTCTCCTTCCCAGCCCTTGTCTCAGGTCTGCTTCCAAGGAACACCAAGCTAAGACAGCAAGTGATGGTCACACCAGGCCTCGAGGCTGCACTGCAGCTGGTGCTCAGGAGCAGATAAATACCAGAAGAGGCCCAGATTTATGATTCCCCAGGAAAAAGAAGTTCCTGAGTCCCAGAAGTCACTGGCTGTCTGCAGCAACCCAGCCATTTTGCACAGAGAAATCCACACCAAACCTGGAAATCTTTTTTATTTTGTTTTATTTCAATAGGTTTTGGGGAGCAGGTGGTGTTTGGTTACATGAATAAGTTCTTTAGTGGTGATTTCTGGGATCTTGGTGCACCCATCACCCAAGGAGTGTACACTGTACCCAATGTTTTGTCCCTCACCCCCTCACACCGTTTCTCCCGAGTCCCCACAGTCCACCATGTCATTCTTATGCCTTTGCCTCCTCATGGCTTAGCTCCCACCTACGAGTAAGAACATATAATGTCTGGCCTTCCATTCCTGAGTTACTTCACTTAGAATAATGGTCTCCGCCTCCTTCTGGGTTGTTGTGAACCCCATTATTTCATTCCTTTTTATGGCTGAATAGTATTAAATGCCCATCAATCAATGAGTGGGTAAATAAAATGTGATATACGTATATATACCATTGCACACTGTGTTGCTATAAACATGTGTGGGCAAGTATCTTCTTGTATAACGACTTCTTTTCCTCTGGGCAGATACCCCGTGGTGGGATTGCGGGATCAAATGGTAGATCTAGTTTTAGTTCTTTAAGGAATCTCCACGTTGTTTTCCATAGCGATTGTACTAGTTGACATTCCCACCAGCAGTGCAAAAGTGTTCCCTTTTCACCGCATCCACGCCAACATCTATTTTTTAAATATTTTTTAATTATGGCCATTCTTACAGGAGTAAGGTGGTAACGTATTGTGATTTGGATTTGCATTGCCCTGATAATTGGTGATGTTGAGCATTTTTTCATATGCTTCCTGGCCATTTGCATATCTTCTTTTAAGAATTGTCTCTTCATGTCCTTTGCCCACTTTTTGATGGGAATTTTTTTTCCTTCTGATTTGTTTAAGTTCCCTGTAGGTTCTAGATATTGTCCTTTGTTGGATGTATAGTTTTCAAAGATTTTCTCCCACTCTGTGAGTTGTCTGTTTCCTCTGCTGCTTATTTCTTTTGCTGTGCAGAAGCTTTAAGTCCCAACTGTTTTTCTTTGTTTTTATTGCATTTGCTTTGGGATTCTTGGTCACGAAGTATTTGCCTAAGCCAATGTCTAGAAGGATTTTTCAGATTTTATCTTCCATAATTTTTATGGCTTCAGGCCATAAAGTCTTTGATGCATCCTGGGCTGTTTTTCCTATAAGGTGAGAGATGAGGAGGCGGTTTCATTTTTCCACACGTGGCCTGCCCATTATCCCAGCACCATTTGTCGACTAGGGTGTCCTTTCCCCAGTTTATGGTTTTTGTTTTTTTTGCTTTGTCAAAGATCAATTGGCTGCAGGTATTTGGCTTTATTTCTGGGTTCTCTATTCTGTTCCATTGGTCTATATACCAGTTTTTATACCAATACCATGCTGTTTTGGTGACTATAACCTTACCGTATAGATTGAAATCAGGTAACGTGATGCCTCCAGATTTGTTGTTTTTGCTTAGTCTTGGTTTGGCTATGGGGGCTCTTTTTTGGTTCCATATGAATTTTAGGGTTTTTTGTTCTAGTTCTATGAAGAATGACGGTGGTAATTGATGGAAATTGCATTAAACCTGTAGATTGCTTTTGGCAGTATGGTCATTTTGACAATACTGATTCTACCCATCCATGAGCATGGGATGTGTTTCCATTTGTGCCGTTTACGATTTCTTTCAGCGGTGTTTTGTAGAGGTCTTTCATCTCCTTGATTAGGTATATTCTTAAGGATTTTATTTTTCACAGCTATTGTAAAAGGAGTTGAGTTCTTAATTTGAAGCTGTTTGTGTACAGCAGTACTACTGATTTCTGTACATTACTTTTGCACCCTGAACCTTTGCTGAATTTGTTTACCAGTTCTAGGATCATTTTGGGTGAGTCTTCAGGGTTTTCTAGGTATAGGATCATACCAACTGCAAACAGCGACAGTCTGACTTCCTCTTTACTGACTTGGATGCTCTTTATTTCTTTCTTCTTGTCTGATTGCTCTGACCAGAACCTCCAGTACTGTGTTGAATAGAAGTGGTGAAAGTGGGCATCCTTTTCTTGTTCCAGTTCTCAGGGGAAATGTTTTCAACTTTTCCCCACTCTGTATAAACTTTTCCCCATGGCTGTAGGTTTGTCATAGATGGTTTTTATTAAGGTATGCCCCTTCTATGCCGGTTTTGCTGAGGGTTTTAATCATAAAGCAATGTTGGATTTCATCAGATGTTTTTCTGCATTTATTGAGATGATTATGTGATTTTTGTTTTTAATTCTGTTTATGTGGCGTATCCCATTTATTGACCTGCATATGTGAAAACCATTCTTGCATCCCTGGTTTAAAAACCACTTGATCATGGTGGATTATCTTTTTGATATGCTGTTGGATTCAGTTTGCTATCATTTTGTTGAGGATTTTTTCATCTATATTCATCAGGGATATTGATCTCTAGTATTCTTTTTCTGTTATGCTTTTTCCTGGTTTTGGCATTAGGGTGATACTGGCTTCATAGAATGATTTAGGGAGGAGCTCCTCTTAATCTTTTGAATAGTGTCAATAGAATTGGTACCAGTTCCTAATTCTTTGTTTTGTTTTTGTTATTGTTTTGAGACAGGGTCTCCCTCTGTCACCAAGGCTAGAGAGCAGTGTCACAATCTCGGCTCACCATAGCCTTGACCTCTCAGGCTCAAACAATTCTCCCACCTCAGCCTCCCAAGTAGCTAGGACCACAGGTACATACTACCATGCCCAGTTAATTTTTTGTATTTTTTGTAGAGACGAGCATTCACTATGTTTCCCAGACTGCGCTCAAGTGATCTGCCTGCCTGGGCCTCCCAAAGTGCTGGGATTACAGGAGTGAGCCACCATGCCCAGCCTCAATTCTTCTTTGAATGGCTGATGGAATTCAGCTGTGAATCCATCTGGTCCTGGACTTTTTGTTGTTTCTGGCAATTTTTTAATTACCATTTTAATCTCACTGCTTATTATTGGTCTGTTCAGAGTTTCTACTTCTTCCTGGTTTAATCTAGGAGGGTTGTATATTTCCAGGAATGTAGCCATCTCCTCTAGGTTTTTTAGTTTGTGCATGTTGAGGTGCTCATAGTAGTCTTGAATAATCTTTTGAATTTCTATGGTATTGATTGTAATATTTCCTGCTTCATTTCTAACTGAGCTTATTTGGATCTTCATTCTTTTCTTGGTTAATCTCACTAATGGTCCATCAATTTAATGATCTATTTCAAAGAATCAGCTTTTTGTTTCATTTATCTTTTGTATTTTTTGATTCAATTGCATTTAGTTCTGCTCGATCTTTGTTTTCTTCCATTGGGTTTGGGTTACTTTTCTTCCCTTGGGTTTGGGTTTGGTTTGTTTTTGCTTCTCTTAGTTCCTTGAGGTGTGACCTTAGATTGGTTATTTGTGCTCTTTCAGACTTTTGATGTAGCTATTTATGGCCATGAACTTTCCTCTTAGCAATGCCTTTGCCGTGTCCCAGATATTTAGGTAGGTTGTGTTACTGTTATTCAGTTCATAGAATTTTTAAATTTTCATCTTGATTTCATTGTTGACCCAACAGTCATACAGAAGCAGGTTATTTAATTTCTATGTATTTGCATGGTTTAAAGTGTTCCTTTTGGAGTTGATTTCCAGTTTTTTTCCACTGTGGTCTGACAGAGTACTTGATATAATTTCAGTTTTCCTAAGTTTGTTGAGACTTGTTTTACCGCCTATCATATGGTCTCTCTTGGAGAATGTTCCACGTGCTGTTGAACAGAATGGATATTCTGCTGTTCTTGGGTACAAGGAGCTGTAAATATTTATTAAATCCATTTGCTCTAGGGTGAGGTTTAAATCCATTGTTCCTTTGTGGACTTTCTGTCTTGATGACCTGTCTACTGCTATCCGTGGAGTATTGAAGTCCCCACTATCATCGTGTTGCTGTCTATCTCATTTCTTAGGTCTAGGAGTGTTTTGTAAATTTGGGAGCTCCAGTGTGAGGTGTGTATATATTCAGGACTGTGATGTTTTCTTGCTGGACTAGTGCTTTTATCATTATATCATGTGCCATGTTTTTCTAATTTCCCCCCCCAAAAAAATTTTAATCTACAGATCGAATTGAGACTAATCAGCCTTTTAGATGTAGGAAATTAAGGCACTGGGGGGACCAAAAATCGGTCCAAACCCTGAGTATGTAATGAAGACTGAGTGGCCCAACCTTCGTGAGATGCAATTCCTTTTTTTATTTTTTCAGTGTGTTTATTTGGACATGCATACTTGCTATTTTAAACTTTCTGTGAATTAGAGAATGTGAAATTCCTCACAGCCTCACTCAAGACAAAGTCCATGAACAACAGCTGTGCACGGGCGAGCCCGATGTTTCCTCTGCACACCTACCCACGCTGCACTCTAAAATAGTCAACAAATCACAGACATTTCGTCGTCTTCCGAGATGTAGAGACCTTCCCTACCAAGGCAAATGAATGAAGGCGCTTTGGTTGCCTGCATCTCATCCTTCTGCACTTTCCCAGATTGCCTTGTTCCATTAAAAAGGAGGAGAGGGGTACAAAGAGGAACAGGCATGTCTTTTATTTCTCAACATTACTCAAATAGATTACTTCCTCCACATATTATCCTACGGGAAAATTGCCAATTTCCGTGTTTGTGGAAAATCCGTTTTCGCAGGCTGACCTTTTCCAGGTGTGGGCTGCCGCTGGCTCCAGGCTGTCTCTGTCTTCCACCTCCCTGAGGCTTCCGAGTCACTGAGACCCACCCTATGCCTTGGCTAGGAACAGGCCCGTTCCCTTCTTGCCACCAGTCCTCTAGGAAACTTCGACAGATGCCCAGGCCTCCTGGGTGCAGCGTGCACAGCCTTGCTCCACAACCACCCACTCACGCTGAGAGGAGACGCTCAGGTGGGACGGGGCTCTCAGCTGAGCTGGCTACCACAGTGGAGCCCAGAATCCAGCAGACCACCCACAACGTGCCCCTGAACCTGGTTCCCCCGTCCTCCCTGTATCCTCATTCACCACGTGCAGATGGATGTCTTCGGACCAGAGTATCGGCTCCATTCAGGGCTTCTGCCACGACAGGGTATTCTGCTCCTGCCTGTGCACCACAGCAGCCACCGGCCACACCTGGCTATTGAACGCCTGAGATGTGGCTGGCGCACCTGGGAAACAGAATGTTGTATTTAAACGGCCACATTCTGCCAGTGGATAAAGTATGGAACAGCGCCGGTGTAGACAGGAGGGTGGCAAAACGCATCTCAGGAAGGGAGAACCGTTTATAGGAAGCAAGGAGGTGAATGAGCCCAGGATCAGGAGGAGGGCTTCCTCCACCCCCTGCACACCAGCCTGGGTGGCCTTAAAGCTGCAGCGAGGTGGGCCCTTGGCATGGGGAATGCAGGAGTGCAGACTGAAAAGAGGGCACGGTGTGGGGCAGCACCGTAAGGAAACGGCCAGGTGGTGCAGCGCTCCCTGTCGGCAGGGGCCCATCAACTTGCTTTGGCAGCCTGCTGGGGCCTGACTACTGGTTCAGACCACGAAGCCAGGCTCAGAGAAGCAGGGAAGGAGGGTGTTCCTTGATGGCAGTAACTCCATGCTGTGTGGTTCACTGTGGCGACAGCACAGAGCTGAGCAGGCCTGGGGCTGCAGGGGTGTTGGCCTGAGGCTGAAACACCACATCTTACCCGAGGTGCAGCAGGGGCTTCTTCAGGGAAACTGAGCTACTGCTGTGTCCCCAGTGCCTCTCCCCAAGGCTGGAGGGTGCAAAGCAGAGCCAGGGCCGGAGCTCCATGTGGAGCTGGTGACAGTGCCATGACTGGCAGGCCCCAAGTCCCCGGAACTGCCTCTAATTAGGGAAACTTGGTATGTCCCTGGGCCTCTCTGGGCATCAATTTCATCTTTATATTGAGGCTTGTAAATGAATCAAGCTTCTCAAACTCTAGTGAGCCTGAGAACAACCCAGAGTGCTTGTTCAAATATGATTCTTGGGTTTCTAGGCTGGATTCTGGAATAGGAGAATACTAATGGAAAAGCAGGCGAAATCTGATGAAGTCTAGAGTTAATTCATTGTCATGTGTCAGTGTTGCTTTCTTCGTTTTTACCAATGCACTTTGATAACGTAAGATGATACCATTAGAGGAAGCAAACTGGGTGAGGGGCATAAGGGAACATTCACGTTGTCTTCGCAGATTTTCTGTGACTCTAAAACTATTGCAGAATTAACTGTGCATTTTTTCAAAAAGTTTGTTCCTCAGCCCGACCCCAGCTATTCTGAATTCAGTAGGTTTGAGCATGGGGCCCCAGTGGCTGTGATGGGAGTGATCAGCAGACTGGGTTGAGAAACACTGAACTTTGCTCCCATGGCGCTCGCTGGAATCACTCCTGGGCCCAAGTTCTGTGAGACGGCTTTCCACCCAAGCAGCAGGGGTACAGGCAGAAAGCAGGCCACAGAGGCCAGAGAGTCAGAACCAGGCCTGGAGTCTGGACGGGCCAGAGAGAGCCGAGGATGCAGGAGATGAGAAGTCCAGATGCTGGCAAACAGGGACACAAGGGAGCAGAGCTGGGGACTCGCGTCCCTCACTGCCCCATGCACCTGTCATGCGCACTGCAGTGCGCACCTGTGTGGCGTGGGGGCACCCCGAGCACCCACCCCTGAGGCTGCAGGTTCCACTCCTGGGAAAGCACATAAGGAGCTGATGGTGGAGGCCTGGGCCTGAAGTCAGAGCTCAATAGTGGATGGAAGATCTGAACCATGGATGAAAACAGCAAAAATGCCAGAAATCTAAGTGCAGAAGCCCTAGCCTGCTGCCTCCAGACCCTCCCTGGGCTGGGAAAGCCCTCAGCTGAATAAGGGAGTTGGCCAGTGTGGTGGAGGAGAGACATCCTGAGAGCACCTCGAGCCTCGTGACACAGAAAAGACCAGTGGATTTGCACCCAGGGGTCAGATAGGGACATTCCAGCACAGATCACAAACAGCCTATGCCACCCTGTGAGGTCAGGTGTGGCCGGGACACACCGTGGTTAGGAGGGGCAGAGCGAAGCCGCCTGGGCCCTGGGGAGGAGCATGCCAGAACGTGGCCGTTCCTTGGGATCTGGAGGAACATAGGAAGCAGGACAGGGAGAGTGGGGCTCAGGATGGTGGCGAAAAGGGCAGCGGTGTTTGCAGCCCCCAGGGTGGGTGGGCAGGCCAGGAGAGCCTGGGATGCCCCGGTTCAGCAGACTTTTGCCAGGGAGAGGCAGGGAAGGCCTCCGCTGAAATCCAGACAGAGGGGATGTTGCCAAGACACTGACGGAAAGGCGAGTGGGCAGGACACGGTCAGATGATTCCAGCCCTTTCTGGGGTGACTGCAGCGCCTCCACATGGGTGGTGTGAGCTTCTCCATCACCCCGGTAGAGTCCATAGCCCCGAGCATGGGCACTGGGGCTGCTGGGCCTGCAGAACCCGTTAGAAAATACAGAACTTAGGCATCTGCATCTCCAGGGTTGGGGCCCAGGAATCTATTCGTCTATGTCTCAAGGTGATTGTAGTGAGCAGTGAGGTTGGGAAAGGGCCAGAAGAAAGGACTTCCCGGTCCCTAGCCTACAGGATTCTGGCCCCAGGGACACAAGCTAGACGCGCAGGCTCTGGTTGTCCTCAGGGAACGCCTCTGAAGTTTTCGGCTCAGCCTCTCCCAGCTGAGTCTGTGGGCTGGAGTGGTTCTAGCCCAAGGAGTTATTGCTGCCATAAATTCAAAGAAATGAAGCATTTTGGAAGATAATTTTCTTTTTGATTCCCAGCCAGGCTTCCTTGGAGAGTTGGCGGTAAGTCCACGCCGTCCCCGAGCAGAGTCTCCCTCTCTTCCCTGTGCCACCCCCGCTGCGACCTCACCCGCGCTGGCTCCAGACAGCAAGGAGCCCCTTCCCAAGTCCCTGGAGGCTCCATCTGAACCACTCAGTCCCCCCGCGCCACCCCCGGTAGCTCCACGGCAGAGTAAACTTGTCAGTTCCAGCACTTGCTCAAGGACTTTCCGTCTCTGCCTTCACCGTCTTGTTTACTGTGCTTACCTTCTGTTTCTGCTCTCTTTGGTTTCCATAAAAATTCCTTGCCCAACTGGCTTGGTCCAGTTCTGCCACCAGCATCTGGGCCACTGCCTGCTGCAAGGCTGAGAGTTGACACAATCAGAAACAGTGCCCTGCTGGCTGGGGCATAACTTAGTTCAGATGACACTCTGTGGCCAATGTCGTATTTTCCCCAGATTCTGCTGGAGCCAGGCAGAGGAAAATCGACTGCGTGTAAAGCTAATGACAGGTTGAATACATCAGGGATTGCTGAGTCTTGGTTGGATAATACAACACATGGATCCTTGGCAAGTGCCTTCATTCATTCATTCACTCATTCAGTCTTACAGTGATTCAGTCAACAAACTTGGCTGAGTGGCTGTCCTGTCCCATGTGCTGTGTTAGGTAGATTCCATCAGAGAGGA